AAGAGTTCAAAAAATTTCGGCAATAATTTCGGCAAATATGAAAATTAATTTCGGCATTATATAAGAATAATTTCGGCCGTAATTACTTTTTTATTAAGATGGGCAATTTAGGCACCCATGTATAGTTAGACTGGGGACTTATTAAATTAAAAATCTTGGCCAACATTATATGCAAAAAGAGGTGCTTATTTTTGAAGGAATAAGAAAACTTTTATAGATTTTCTTGGTATAAAGGTTTTTCATAACTACTTCTAACAATCAATTATGGTTTTTTATTGCATTAGATAGGAAAGGTGTAACAAATATTTAAAGGAAAAGTTTATTATTATCGTCATGTTCAATTTATGAGAAAAAAATATAATAAATAGCATAATAATAATCCAATAAAATCCGAGAATTTTTAAGTATTACAGTTACTCTGCCATTAATAATAATCTTTATCGCCTATCTGTAGTATCTTTTTGTGAAACTTTTTTAAAAAAACGTTTTTTCTATCACGTACCCAAGTACAAAATGATCACCTTGTAGCTCTGACCTATTAAGGAAGTTTAAGCCTGAATTAAAATGTCAACAACCAGTCCAAACTTGTTATGGCACATAGTTTTAGATATTGAAGTATTGATATAAATAATATATCAGATATGCCAAAATTGGTATTAGGCCCTTGCATATATTCTTATAAAATGCCACTCGAGTCCATTTCAATAGTGACCGAAACTTGCTTTTTTTTTTTCTTATATAATATGATGATCTTTCAACAAATAATTAAAACTGGTTCACCCTTTATTAAAAAAAATATTAGTTCATCTACGATAAACTCATTTCCTTATTATTTTCGTTCTTTTAAAACAATCAAAATTGATTTTCGACAAATCACTCAAACTTCTGTGCATAGATCACATGAATATTATCTTGTCAAATCTCCCCATGGTGAAAATTATCGTTTACAACTTGCAAAATCAAGACACTTGGCTGGTATTAGGTTTGAATGAATTTTAAAAGTTTTGTCAATTGTATACATTTAGAATTTTTTTTTTTTTTTTTGATTTTAATTTCGCATTTATTCTTGTATTTATAGAACATCTAGAGGAAATCGAGAATCTAATGAAGACCGATATCAAACTCTAGTTCTTGAATTTAACAAACTTGATAATGTTAATTTTAATGGTAATGTAGAACATATCCATATAGATAAAAAAATTTCTGAAACAAATGGTCAAGAAGAAGAAGGCAAAGATGGCCAAATATGTTATTTTGCTTTATTTGATGGGTTTGTCTTACATATTTTAATCTTTATCATTGAATATCGTAATTTTATATAAATCTTATTTTTTATTTTGTTGATCCTAATAGTCATGGAGGTTCTCAATGCGCAGATTATCTAGTCGATAATCTTCATAAACGGATTGAAGATATCCAGGCTTCTGATGCGGATGACACTATATCTCAATGGAGAAAAGCTGGAGGGTTCGTAAACAAATTATTTACTTATCTAATTAAACATTCTGATTCATAAACTCCATAAATTTGCTTTATAAAACAGCTATTTTCGAAGGTTTCTGCCTCCTTCACTAGTTCCATTATTAAGTCCCGAGACAATTAAACCTACTAATATACGACAAAATACAATTACTTCTGAAGAAAATTCGAATTCCAGCAAACGTAATTCTTCTAAAGAACTGTCACCTTCATCAACAAATCCAATATCGAATGAATCAACAAAATTTGAACTTACTTTAGAACAGCGACTTACATTATCATTTTTAAAAACTGATCTAGAACTTAGGGATTCTATTGGTCGGTCAATCGGTTCTACAGCATCGATTGCACTTGTAAAATCATTAGATGGTCGAACATTTTGGTCAAGCGAAGAACTGGAAATTACTGTTGCCCATGTTGGTGACACTCGTGTGTTATTATGTGATGCTCATTCGGGAAACGCTATACCTTTAACATTTGATCATCATCCAAGCTCTGTTACAGAACTTGATAGATTACAAAAATATGGTGGTTACGTAATTACTGATTCTTTTGGTTCCGATATGATATTGGGAAAATTAGCTAATACTCGAGCATTTGGTGATTCTAAAATGAAGAGGTATGGAATATCAGCGGAACCAGAAATCATTAGTAAAATGGTTAAAGGTGATGATGTCGCATTTATGGTATTAGTTTCGGATGGCGTAACGTCAGTCTTAAGCAACCAGGAAATAGTTGATTGTGTGAGTTTTCATTTTCAATGACTTACCGTAAAGTATGGAAAATAAGTACAGCACCCTCTACCCTGCTTTTTTAATTTCAGATTAACGGGAATAACTTGATTAAAGGTTTTATTGCTATTTCCGCTAATCTGAAATTGAAAAAAGTAGGGTAGA